CTGCGTGGAGGGGGGGGCGAGGGGTCAGATGTAAGACGAAGCCAACACCGGGGCAGGAACATCGTTTAACCGATCCCTGTCCCCACCGGTTTGGCCTGGGCTCCACTGGCCGATTTGCCCCCCCCTAGCTAGGGATATATGATGTCTTCTACGGGTTCCGAGGGGTATAGCCCCAACTCGGGTGGTGGGCTGGTGGGGATCGGGATGGGGATGGGGATACGGATCGGGTGAACGACACTCAAGGACGGATAACATCGGACCGACACAAACCAGGGATTCCCCATACCCCATCGGGTGACAGAAAAAAACACATCATAGTTTTTTCCGTTCTGTTACAGTTTGCGGCCTCTGGGGGCCCTCGCTGTGCCCCTGGACTGTCAAGATCGACTCAAAGTCGGTCCTGGGGAATGGGTCCAGAACTCTCGGGGTCGACGTTGAGAAACAGCATGACGTCGTTGGTATGGATATACAGGCCAGACCTCTAGTGATTCGAAGCACGAACGACGGCGGCGATAAAAATGCTGCCCCTGCCCCCAGGCCTGTCCTGGTCTCCGAAGTTGTAGCTGATGACGAGCAGTCCAGCCATATCTTCCCCATGCCGTTGCTCGCACGCGGCGACGATGGCCCAGCCGTGGTGACGAGGAGCGACGAAGGGGGGATGGGCAAACAAACAGGGGATCTTTGAGATCCGGCGGTTCTGGAGGACACATCGGGCGCCGCGGCCTTCTCAGAGCATGCCGGAACGCTTCCGAACGCTCTGGAACGATTCAACCCTGTCCCAGCCCCGCCCGATCGCTCCACTTTAGCTTTAGGAGGCAACTCCTGGGAGGTCGTCGTACGAATGATCAAGGGGTATGAGGCCCGATTGGGGGGCCAGTGAACCAAATTGGACCAAATTCGGTCCAATATTAAAAAGAATTCAGCGGGATAAAGCCGGACTCAACGGGATGATGTCGGATCAGGGGTCGGGGGGGGTTTAGGGCGACGAAATGTATACATACCTATACGACCACCCTGCGGGTGAGAAGGAGGTTGGGGGGGGAGGGGGCCAGCACTGGGCAACAGTGGTGGTTGTTGTTCTGACGATGCCAGTGGAGATTTTTGCGTTGCCGCTCGCTCTTGGGAGCCTTGGTGTCGAGTTGTTTACGTCACCCTTCGCTCTTGGGCGCCTTGGTACCATTCCCCCCGCCCCCCGGGAACCAACGAAATGATAAATCCCACCAGCCCTCTGGGCGTGAGTGGTTTAGGGAGCCCTCTCTGTCCTCAACCCCTTTCTTCCCCTTCGGGGAGGGGTTTACCCCTCCCCCTACCCCCTTCCCCTGGACCTGGAGAGGCCGTTCCGCGGGTCGTCAGCAGGGCGTCCAAGATGGGCAGCCGAAAAGGCGCCGCATGCTGTAATTTCATAGGGTTTCGGGACCCGACGGGGGGACAGAGAAAAGTGCTCGTCCCTGTTTTGATCGATCGCCTCCAAGATGGCCCCAAGAGACCTCCCAGACCCCCCCAAAGAGCCCCAAGAGGGCCCCAACAGCGCCCCCAGAGAGCCCCAAAGGAGCCCCAAGGGAGCCCCGAGAGGCACCACGGGAACCCCAAAAGGGCCCAAAGACCTCCAAAATATCCCCAAGAAGGTCCCGGGATACCCCCAAGATGCCTCCAAGAGGCTCCCAGAGCGAAAGACCCAGAGAAGTAGAAGGATATATGCGTGGGCAGGAGGAGGTGCGCCCGAAAGCCATGACTGCCGGCATGCTTCGCACAAGTTGCTGTTCTGGAATGGGCTGGTGGGGATGCGCGAAGCGTGAAGAATTATTTCGTTTATTTTGCAAGGGCTTGGGGGGCCGTTTGGGCTCGTCGTTTGGACCCCTTGGGGGGCTCTTGGGGGTCTCTTGGGGGGCCTCTTGGGGGCCTCTTGGGAGCCTTTTTGGGCTTCTTGGGGGCCTCTTGGGGCCTCCCGGGAGCTTCTTGGAGCGACCCTTAAGAGCCTGCTCCGCCAACGTTCGTACTGGGAGCCTTGGTGTTCAGAGATTTTTGCGTTGCCGCTCGCTCTTGGCACAGCATACAGCACGGGATGTCGATGTTCCTGACGATTTGCATTTGCATTTGCTTATCGATGTGCATGTCGATTTGCTTTTCGATCTGCATTTCGATCTGCATTTCGATTTGCATCTCGGTCTCACTATCGATCCCACGATCGATCTCACTATCGAACTTACTATCGATCTCACTCGATCGATCTCACTATCGGTCTCATTCGATCGATTTCACTGTCGATCTCACTCTCGATCTCGTTTTCGATCCCACTATCGATCTCACTATCGATATCGCTCTATCGATCTCACTATCGATCTCACTATCGATATCACTCCATCGATCTCACTATCGATCTCTCTATCGATCTCTTTATCGATCTCACTCGATCGATCTCACTATCGATCTTACTCAATCGATCTCACCATAGATCCCACTATCGCTCTCACTATCGATCCCACAATCGATCTCACCATCGATCTCACTCGATCGATCTCACTATCGATCTCACTATCGGTTTCACAATCGATCACTATCCATTTCACAATCGATCTCACAACGATCTCACTATCGGTCTCACTATCGTTTTCGCACCAGTGGGACACCGAGACACCAACGGGACACCGGCGGGACACCGCGCGGCCCCGTTTGCCGGGGGAGAATCATTTGGTCCGGCCGCGCCTCAGCCACAGGAGACTTACCGGGACACCAGCGGGACACCGGCGGGACACTGGCGGAACACCGCGCGGCCCCGTTTGCCGGGGGGAAATCATTTGGTCCGGCCGCGCCTCAGCCACAGGAGACTTTCCTCTCGCCCGCCCACGCAGCTTCGCCTCGCCCGCACGCACGGCACGCACGAAAACGAAACCGAAACCGATTTCCCGGTGGAGGGCTCTCCGTTCCACTTCGATCTCACCCCCCAACCTCCGATCCACTGCTCCCTGGCCACGCCCATCCTGAACCTGGCAGCGTTGTGTACGCCACGCCTCCTGGCTTGGCCAGGAGGGCGTATACCTATACGACCGCCCTGCGGGCGATAAGGAGGTTGGGGGGGATTGAGATCAAATGCCCACCCTGACTGACCTCCAGCCTGTCACCTTGATATCATCTCTCTCTTTCTCTCTGTATCTCTCTCTCTCTCTGTCTCTCCTTTCTCTCACCCTCTCTCTATCTCTCTCTTCTTCTCTCTTTTCTCTCTCTCTCTCTCTTGGATTGGATTGGCCCGCCGCAGGCGCAGAAACAAATGAATTGATGGATTGGTTTGGATTGATTGGATTGGGTGGGATAAGATAAGATGAGACAATATGGGTTGGATAAGATAAGATGTATTGGATTGGACAAGATGTGTTGGATCAGATAAGCTGGATTGGATAAGAAAGCCCGCCGCAGGCGCCGACAAAAATGAATTGATGGATTGGGTTGGGTGGATTGGATTGGATGGTATCAGATGGATTTGATAAGATAAGATGGGTTGGATTGGAAGAAATGGATTGGATAAGATAAGATGGATTGGATTGGCCCGCCGCAGGCGCAGAAACAAATGAATTGATGGATTGGGTTGGGTGGATTGGATTGGGTGGGATAATATAAGATGGGACAATCTGGGTTGGATACAATAAGATGGATTGGATTGGGCAAGATGGATGGGATAAGATCAGCTGCATTGGATAAGAAAATCCGCCACAAGCGCCGAAATAAATAATCATGGAAACATGCGTTAGCGCCGGGACGCCTGGGACACTCGGGACACCCGGGACACCGCCCGGCCCAACTGGGACACCTCCCGGCCACTGTCGGCTACACGCAAGAGTGACCCTGGGTAAGAGTGACCTTTGGTGCGCGGCTTTTGGGGGGCCGCGGAAGACCAAACCTGGGCGCGCAAGCCGCTGCTCCTGCTTCGTTTTCAGCCATCTGGGGGCCCATCTGTGCCCGCACCAAAGGTCACTCTGGCGAAAGGTCACTCTTACGTCTAGTCGACACTGGCGGACGGGAAACGGACTTTCGCTCCTACTGACACCCGGGACACCCCGGACACCGACCAGCCCAACTGGGGACACCTCCCAGCCACCGGCGGACGGGAGCGGACTTTCGCTCCTACTGCGGCCTAGCTACAGGAGGATCATGCGCAGCTTCGCCTCGCCCGCACGCACGACACGAACACGAAACCGGAACCGATTTCCTGGTGGGGGGTCTCCGTTTCACTGCGATCTCACCCTCCAACCTCCGACACAGCTGCTGGGTTCAGGACGGACTTGGCCAGGGAGCAGTGTACATGTATTGATTTCGTCGCCCTAGGGTTGGGGGTGAAACTCGAAGGTCGCCGCCCTTCACGCGCCTCGACCCACCTCGTCCGTCCTGGGTGGCACCTTTCAAATTCGGCGCATTCTGCCGCAATGCCTTCGCAAGAAGACGGGTAACTTTTGGCAACTCTCGGCTTCTTGAGATTCTTCGCTGGGCCCCCGGGCCATTCAAGAAATGCACTCAACCGGTATAATAAGGATGCGCGGTTAGGATGCAAGGGACTTGGAAGGCCACGTTGATGCTTTGAGGGCGGGGCGCGGACAGCGAAAGCGGCCAGGGATGGGCCGAAAGGAAAGGATGCTAGGGCACCCTTGGGAAGGTTGCCCATCCTTACTACGCGGGTTGACTGCGGCTCGAGACGAGCAGGCGGTCCCCGGGGATGGACGGCGTCGGTATCTGGGGCAGCCGCCGCGGGGGCGTCCGCCGCCGCCTCCGCCAGTCGCAGTCGCTCGAGGTTCGAACATGGAACATGGAACTTTTTTTTGTTTCTTCTTCTTCTTCTTCTACATCTGCGCAGTGCGAGTCGAGCACGCGCGTGCCTCTCATACCCACCACAGCACCTAACGCTCAAACAAGTTCGCGAACGTCTCCACACCCCGCTGGAGCGCAAGTGCCTCAGCCATGAATGATGATGTCAGGTTCCAGGCAATGAAGATCATCACCTTGCTTTTTGTCTG